CATCGCGGTAAAAGTCATCTTCAGCGCGAAATTTGCTCGCGCTGGAGGACAAGCCATGAAGCCCCATCGAATAATGAAATTCGATGGTGCTGGCTTGTCTAGTGATACAAGCTATTAATGAGCCGTTCGGGCTAGCGCCACGGCTTGAGCTCATCACGTTTCAACGTGGTACCAACACATGTACTCGGTTCTCGGAGTGACGATGGCTTGCGCCATCGTCCACACGCTCGTGTGAAGACGCACGAGTTGGCTGTGGTGATGAGTAATCATAATCAACACCATATTCTTCATCACTGCTGAACAGACTGTGACGCAAGTCGCAAGTCCGTTAGTTCAGCAGAGACTTTGATGAAGGCTCAGGAAGAGGCACCGTGGGTAATCCGGATGCCTCTGAGGTCTTTCCCGAGTCAGACGCGTCCGACTCGCCAGAGTAGATGACCCCCACTTTGAAGTCATCGAGAGCGCGTGGTGTGAGTGATACCACATGTGCCTACGGCAACAGGTGCCGCGGGCAAAGAAGAAGTAGCAGACGACGAGTTGTCTGCCGCGGAGGCTTGTGCAGCAGCATGCTGTGCTGTGTTTGAGTCTCCCCGCATAGACATATTAACTATGCAAGGCAAGGTCAGGTATGAATGGATCTGACCAAGCAAGTGTTCCCTGTCCCAATGGTGTCCAACGAGTGGTTACTAAGTTTTGAGAGTCACACGGTGAATATCAGTTAAAGGGGGGTGATGTAACGGGGTAGACCGTTACATGAAATTATCATTTTGCGAAATGGTAATAAAGTATATTGTGTTGAATATTCTTTTAGAAATATACTAATCACAGTGATATTGTTGAGACAACCCAAGGGTCTACTCATTGGTTGATATTATTTATATCAACCCACCAATCGCTGCTAGACGCGCGCAATGGGTGGTGAGTGGACGTCATCATACATATAGTTATATTGGTATAATTAAGTCAGGACAACAGAGATTCAAGGAGTTATAGGACTTAATTATATCAATACAGGTTTACTTTTACCAAGAGACTAGTCCGACTACTTAGTCTCCTCTCCTTCCTCTATGTTTCCTTAAACACCTAGCAGGGTACTGTTGACCACTGTCGTTAGTGGAAGTATACTCCGTACTGCTCAACCAGTACGTAGTCAACAGTGCCCCGTTACAACCAACACATGTACTCGGTTCTCGGAGTGACGATGGATTGCGCCATCGTCCACACGCTCGTGTGAAGACGCACGAGGTGGCTGTGGTGATGAGTAATCATAATCAACACCATATTCTTCATCACTGCTGAACAGACTGTGACGCAAGTCGCAAGTCCGTTAGTTCAGCAGAGACTTTGATGAAGGCTCAGGAAGAGGCACCGTGGGTAATCCGGATGCCTCTGAGGTCTTTCCCGAGTCAGACGCGTCCGACTCGCCAGAGTAGATGACCCTCACTTTGAAGTCATCGAGAGCGCGTGGTGTGAGTGATACCACATGCGCCTACGGCAACAGGTGCCGCGGGCAAAGAAGAAGTAGCAGACGACGAGTTGTCTGCCGCGGAGGCTTGCGCAGCAGCATGCTGTGCTGTGTTTGAGTCTCCCCGCATAGACATATTAACTATGCAATGCAAGGTCAGGTATGAATGGATCTGACCAAGCAAGTGTTCCCTGTCCCAATGGTGTCCAACGAGTGGTCACCAAGGTTTTAGAGTCACACGGTGAATATCAGTTAAAGGGGGGTGATGTAACGGGGTAGACCGTTACATGAAATTATCATTTTGCGAAATGGTAATAAAGTATATTGTGTTGAATATTCTTTTAGAAATATACTAATCACAGTGATATTGTTGAGACAACCCAAGGGTCTACTCATTGGTTGATATTGTCTATATCAACCCACCAATCGCTGCTAGACGCGCGCAATGGGTGGTGAGTGGACGTCATCATATGTCTAATTATATTAATATAATTAAGTTGGGGTCAAAACAGAGAACAAGAGATATTGGACTTAATTATATTGAGTAACAGTTTTACTTTTTCTACAACTAGAGTCTTGCCTAAGTTGTTTATCCTTCCTCTGTATAGTGCTTATTGTGGGAAAGAGACCTGCAACGCCGAGAGGAAATGAAAAAGTAAATATATATTAGCGTTGGTAGTCCGGTTGATACTTACTGCTTGAAGATCTTTCCATGGTTTCTGGAGAGTCGTCCTTGTATCTTATAGATCTTCGCACGTATCCCAGCAGTCCTTCCTGTCCGCGAAACGGTTAATTGCATGTGCATCTTCCACCGAGACACACCACTCAACTTCAACACGGATGTCATGTGACTTCCAACACTTATACCCAGCAGGGCACTGAGCTTCACTGTTGTCAGTGAGAGTTGACTCCGTACTGGTGTTCCAGTACGAAGTAGCCAGTGCCCCGTTGCACATTTAGCATGTTCGGCCAAATAAATGTGCTCCAGAGTGCATACCAAAATTGCGTTAGACTTTGCATACCATCGACTTCGACGTTTCTTCAGATCAAAACATGTCAACTTGTCAGGTGACTTACGAACGGCTAGTCTACATGAGAGTTGATTCAACCGTTGTGGCATTGAAGTATCGAGAGAATGGAATGTGAGAATGGGTCCTGTTGGAGATGCAGCTGTTGTCATCGATTTGGTTTTCGTTCCGGTTTGTTGCTGCCGCCAGCGTACAGCAGATGCCCGCGATGAATATGTAAATCCCAATGCTCCTTTTCACGCTGCCGAATAACATCGCATGCTTCAACGCAATCGTGATGATTGTGGTCAGATTCGTCGTGTCTCGTCAACATCCTTGACTTTCGCGTCGTAGAGGAATACCTGTGGCATGTCTTGCACATATCACGCCGGCACGAGTCTATCGACTGGTGACCGGAGTCAACCTACGAACACCTTGCACGCCTGTGCTGGGTTGTTGCCTCTTCCTTACCAGTCATAAGCTAAGCCAGCAATGACTGTTGGCCAACCTATGTGGCGTTTTCTTGCTCTACCAAGTCCCAGTCATTCAAGCAGACAATCCTCATCCAGGCTCGTTCACATGCCATTTCCGCGTCACGACCTTGCAGTGCGCGTCCGTTCCCCTCTTTGTACTATTCTCGCGTCGCGTCAGCACAATTTTGGTTCGATGGGTGCGTCGTGTGCACAGCCTACAGCATCGTTGCCATACACGCGGTCCGGTCGATTCATTCACTGCGATAAGTATTGGTCGACAATTCTTGCGATACTGATCAATGGCGGCTGAATAAAGCTGACACTTTGCCACGAGCTGCATCACGAGCACACGTTGAACGTTGACAAAACGCATCGTGACCTTTCTTAATCAACAAAGGTTACGAGGCTGCTGAAAGGATAAAACTCACCGTTACAGATTTTGTGACAATTGGCAAGTACAACCCTCCCGTTCATCCTAATCACCATGACGCGCTTGGCTAGATGCTACTGACTTGTGCTTTATTGCAGTATCTGCGGTGTAACCACTCAAACTGCCCGAGCGGAACGCACGCAAATCAACTGCACTGAAGCCTGCATCGAGAAACCACCCAAAATTACCAATAAAGACCACAACTCCAAGTGAAATGACGAGCTTACCCAGTCGTCGCAATTCAGCGTCAATGGCGTCAAACTCAGAAATCGCCTGTGTCAACGCTTTCGTGTCCAGCTCTGCATGGCAGAAGAGAAAAGGTAGGCAACAAACAGCAAACCATCCAAAAACTCGGCTCTACTCACCCACGGCAGCCTTGTTGTCCGCAAGAAAGCGCACTCGCATACTCCTTTGTGGCTCAAGACGAATCAACTTCCGCACAAACTCTTCTGCTTTCTCCACTCGATGCAAATGTTGCTTTACAAATACACGCACACCGATGTCAGCGTTTTAGTCGAGTGCCAGCTGCCCTCAAATCACTCACTTGCGTCGCGCGGACTCCAAACTGCAGTCTCGATCTCAGACATGGAGACGCCGCAGCGTTCCAGTTTGGCAATCCCAGAAACTTGGCGACGTCTCTCACTTCTTGCTTCGTCAGCTCACTCAATGGACTCACCACGTTAAACTCGGAAGCCGCGACCAGCCCTGTTACCAACAGCCAATTGGCACCACAACAACAATGAGCTACCTGTTTATCCCTCCTGCTGCTTGCTACCAACAAGCACTTACCCACTCTAGTAGGGTCCAGTTGGTCGTCCGCGTTCGTGCCATTATACAGCACGGGCTTCGCACATGCCTCCCAGTGTTTGTCGCTTCCGCCCATCGCTCGACGCTGCGCTTCCTTGGCCACGAACGCTGCCACCTGCTCTAGCTTGGCGTACAGCGTCGTCTTGCAATAATAGCAGCTTCTGCCCTTGTTGGCCACATACGTCCCCACTTGACCTTCATTGGTACCACATTCCCATAGTGCAACACCAATGACGGCCGCCACGTCCCGCGCTTGTTGCAATTGCGCCTCCGACAAAGCCGCCGATACTCCAATACACGCAGCGCTTGTCGCTGGGAACACGCGGTGCACCAGCGCAGCCGCGAGCGACGAGTCGACGCCACCTGAGAACGCCACGACGTTGTTGGTTGGCTGCGCTGTGCACTGGGCACCCAGAGCTCGAGCCCCCCGCGAGGCCACAAGGCGCAGTAGACGATCGACTGTCGACACGAGCATTGCCCGAGAGTTGGGTGGGTGGTGAGGCCTTTTTGAGTCATGGGTACAGCATTTTGGCTCCACGTGAGTGACCAATTCACTCCATTTGTGGCGTCGAATAAATTACGATAGCGCATTTGTGACAAGGGGGGGCGATGTAAAATAAACAAAAAGACAAAAGGGAGAAAAAAGAGCCAGCGACTTTGCTACCTTTCGGGTCGGCACCACGACCGTTTTGCAGCGAACCGAGACATAGACGAGCCACGTCGGTCGTATTTAGAAACGACCTCGTCGATAGAAACGGCCTCGTTTATAGAAACGACCTCGTCGATAGAAACGGCGCACACGACACCCACCTGCGCCCATGACGTCGGCCTTCGCGTACCTCGTGGACCGCAGCGTTGGGCTCCCGAGCCGCTCGTACCGTGACGCGTTGCACGCGCGCGACTCGCGCGAGCTGCTGCACCACTCTCCGTCGACGACCAACTACATCTTCCGCCGGGGTATGCGCGCCTGGAGCTGTGCGTTGGACCCGACGGAGGACCGGTACCTCTTGATTGGCACCGCCCAGTCGCACTTGCTCCTGTTCGACCTCGAAACGCTGGACAGAGCCGACGTGGCGGGTGCCCCTACGTACAACGCGACGAACGTGCTGAGTCCGATGGCCGTCGCACGAGCGCAGCCTGCACCGTCGCTGACCCAGGGCCTCCAATGGGGTATTTCGATGGTCGAGTGGTACCCCGTTGACAGCGGGCTATGCATCACCAGCTCCTTTGATGGGCACGTGACTGTCTGGGACGCCGAGCGGCTATCGCGTGTCAGTGCATTTCCGCTACGACGGAAAGTCTTTGGCGCCAAGTTCTCGCCAGTGAGTACTACACACGCATTGGTTGCCGCGGCGACCGCCAATGGCGAAGTGCGCCTTGTGGACATTGCGAGTCACGCAACGGCGCATAGTCTATTGGGCCACAAAGACGAAGTCTGGACGCTCGACTGGGCACCAACGAGTGAATTTGCACTCGTAACGGGGTCGAGGGACGGCGAGATTCGCCTGTGGGACATCCGACTATCGGGAGCCACAGCTTGTCTCTTGTGTCTCGACTGCCACGGACGAGCAAGTGTCCCGGGCCGCTCGAGTTTGTACACGAACGTGCAGCGAGAGAAGCCCATGTCGTTGACTGCTGCTGCTGCTGCTGCTACACGGAATAAAAGACGCCGCGTTAGCAGTGGTGGGGGCGGTGGGGGCGGTGATGCATCCGAGATGCAACGTCGCGACCGACAGCGAGCGAGATCGAGAGTGGAGAGTCATCGTGAGGCAATGCGGGCGACAGTGTTTCGACCGAAACGGAACGACCCGCATGCTGCAGCGACTACTTCGTTAGCGGTTGCTCACAATGGGGGAGTAACGAGTCTCGCGTACACACCGGATGGGCGGTTTTTACTGAGTCGTGGCATGGACAATAAGCTTCGGTTGTGGAACGCAGCATCCGGTGAACATCAGTTTATGAACTACCACGGCGTGCAACGAGCACAGCCGCGTGCTGCTAGAAATGTACAAATGGCCGTTGTCCAAGAAGGCGGGGCGTGGGAGACGACGGTAGTGTTTGTGCCGAACGGGTCGGAGGGAGCACTGGCGTCGTACCGCGTGTTTGGCGAAAGTGGTGTTCCACTTGGGTCAGCTACAGCCCATTATCAGCAAGTGACTGCATGTTTGTACCGGCAATCTACACGAGAGCTGTATTCCGCAGGCGAAGACGGGCTGATCATGAAGTGGAAGCCGCCACCCGTTGACTTGTATCCTGACGTGCCAGAAGATGTCAGCAGCGACGCGCGGATGAAAAGTGGCGGATCTGCTGACGTCGCTACTGCTGCGGTTGGCGATACTGACGCATGGAGCGACGATGACCAAGATGCGACCAACCACCAATTCATCCCACCCATTTTGCGCGATAACGTATGAAGCTGCACGGCGAAAAGTGTTATGCGGTGCGCGGTCGGCGGCAACAACACCATGGTGTCATTGCGCCTGATCGAGCAGATGGATTTGTAGTGTTAGATAGCTCGAGGCTGACACTGCGATCAAGCAGCGGTTCACACGATCGAAACGATGCACGCGATACTCGCAAATTCATCCAATGCCGTGTCGTTGGTAACTGCGATCGGTTCCCAGGAACGATGTTCGGTATGATGGGAAGCGTAAATGGATAGCTCACGTCACTTTCAACGACGAGAGACTCGAGGGAGAGCTGTGCGACCCGAGCGAAAGAGTACGCGCTTCATAATGCCAGTGACAAGCGACGTGCAAGTTGCTGGACCAACAAGTCTCAGCATTGGTGACACATATGACGACCGCAATCATGTGCAAGTCACAACAGACCATAGACGTCGATACTGAAATGGAAACGTGGGGGGAACGAAGCGCTATAGTGGCACAAGCAATCAGCGAAATGAAAGCTTTGGACGTCGGCGCCTCTTTTTCTTCGAGAAATAGCAGCATGGCTGCAAGACGTTGTCTGTCCTTGCGAGGTGTGTCAAGCTGGTGACACCTGTCACCGCAAAAAAAGAAATGCGTTTACGTAGTCCGTGGGCACACTGCGCAGGCCTACGAAAAAGGCCAAGAAAGGCCTGAACGAGCATGGACAGCTGATTCGAGGAGCGTTGGGAACGACACCATTGTCCGTGAGACGCGAATCCACAACTCAGCAAACGTGACAGTGAAGCATAGTTCTACAATGTCACATTGACATGCTACGAACGCACTTGTGAGCAGTCATGTCTCGGATCGTACGTTGGGACTGCTTCCATTGAGAGATGTACCTCCCCAAGCTCTCCCTGCCTGTGGCACACACCAGCAGATCAGACAAAAGCTACGTCACGGCAATGTCGATGGCGGTACAGCATTCCAATTACCTCGTGCACCGTGTTCCCACAATACAACGAAAGAAGGAACGTCGAGCTTGACCGCGTAGATCCACCAGTCCGCTCCCATTCAACACCCGTTCATGTCAACGCCACGGCACCACTGGCGCAACCTCAAGAAGCGTCTGGAGTACCGCAAATTTACGTGCAACAGGGAAACAAAGGTGCGGCTGTGTTGTGCAGAACCACTATGGCAGTATGATCGCCAAGAGAGCTATCGTGTGTGCGAGTTGCCTTGACTTGCAACGCCTCACCCTGTCTCGACATTTCGACGCACAGCCAAAACTATTGGTGTGCAGCTCACACGGGTCCTGGAAACAGCATACGCTGGTGGAAACATACATAGCAGGTCTCACGACGAACGGCTTACTCTTTAACACTTGCAAAAAAAATGAGCAGAAGAAAGCGTGAGCATCTGATGGCCCTCAACAAAAACTCCAACTCGACTTGTTCTGACGACCACTGCGTATGAACGATACGCCACTGGATTCTGCTGTTATCGTCAGACCGCTCTTTTCGCACCAAAAGTCACATCATTCAGCGTTTGTGCGAAAAGGAAGTTATGCGCTCACTTTTTTTCGCTGTCAGTCCAACACTTGTCTCCCCCTTCTTCTGTTGGGTTCGATCTGGTTTGCCGTCCTTTGCTATCGACAGTCCATGTCCATGTAAACGGTCACGCTTCGATCTTTCGAGCGTTCTTGTAAAGCACACAGTCGCTTGGACTGCTTCTAGCAGAGTTCGTCAGCTGATGCTTTTGACAACACATGTACATCATGGTTAGTCTCCATCCAGCCATAGCCAACGTCTTATCCGGATAGGAACTGCAGCATGGAAACATTGCACAAGTCCAGTGTGGCTTCGATCGATCTTCCGCGATAAGTGTATCGACTTGTGTCAGTTCCGAGACCAGAACAACAAGCAAACATCAATCTTCGTGCACAGTGAGTGCTTGATCAGACCGCAGCGCGCTCATGGTCGCAATGTGGATACTTCGATCGCTGTTGACGACACTCCATCGGTTTCGCATCTCGTTCTTTCTTGGTCGCAGCTTTTGGTGCCTATTCGCCTGTTTCTAAGGTCGCCTTGAGCGGATTGATACATGATGAGGCAATAATGAGATGGTCAACGCGCGACCACGTCTGGTGGACGGAGTACATCTGCTGGGCGACAAGTGCTCCACACATGCATGCATGCATGCAGCAATTATAAAGTCTTGAATGCCCTGTCTGACACCCGTGCTCTCAGATTGGTATCATTCCTTTCGCCGTGAGGTGGTTCAGAACGCTCAGAATACTAGACAGTCGACGTACGCTGTATAGAGACGGGTTGTGTGACCTCAGAAGGGATGACTTGCAACAACTTGACAGCGGCAACATGAGTGAATTGCTGCGAATGTCCGAATCGCTCGAATATCGTGGACGTTCAGCTACACCCTCGACTCAACTTGTGAGCGGTTGATTATCGATCGAACTCAGACAAAACTTACTCCGAAGAAAAGCGTCGTGCCGGCTTCAATACAAAGTGACTTGTCTTCCACCGTGTCGTGCAACAAGTTGACATGGTCATGCCCATCGATACTTGCAGGCGACGATCAAGATTGAGGAAGGAATCGTCCGATGTATATACCTTGTGAAGGTCGTATGGTCATCGATTCGAATTGCACTGTACATACCACAATCAAGCGATTCATCAGGCCCGTGAGCTTCGTGTGTGGGATGCTGTAGTTCACACATAGCTAGAAGGTCACACGAATTTGACTCCTGGTCGGCTACTAAGAGGACACCGCTTTGTTTTGAACTGCTACTTGCTAACAATTGCTCTATTCGTAATGACGGTTCCAAGTGTTTACTCACCGCAACATGCTCTAGTTACAACTGTTTCGAGGTAATTTCCTGTAGCACAAAAGCTGTGTCTGCTGCTACAGGACACTGCAATTGGTCCAGAGCAGGAGCGCGTACCACACAACAGCAGCTAATGGGCGAAAGAAAACGGTCCATTCCTTTCCGATGAAGTCGGTGTTATTTTGAATCCAATGGTAGAATTGGCAGCGACGCTTGAGTTCTATGCTGCACAGGATCACTGGTACCAAATGACAACGCGGGACATTCGTAATACAGGGCGGGATTGAGGAGGTCTGCTCTTGTTTTCAGTGCCGTTAAACACAAGTGACTACTGACCTATATGAGGCTGCGCAGTTCTGTTCGACGACACATTCGATGACTTCTATCATCATCAACTTCCGATCACAATTGGTATGCGTCTATAAACACATTCGCTGTGCGCTATCTAGTAATGCTCGACACATGTTCCGTCGCCTACCTTCCGCTGCACAATTCTATGGCATGCTGGCCTTGCGGCTGGGAGGATTGACGGTTTGCTGCAGATTAGCAAAGTGGAGGAGAGCATCAGAAAGCTACACAGCAAACTGATCCGCCTCGTTATCGTCACTGATGTCGTCGATGCTGCTCGTCTCGTAGTCTGACTTCCCAACGTACGCGATTATGAGGATCGCGATGATGGCAGTCGCCACTGCAGCGATAAGCAATGGATGCTGCCTGGCACGTGCCACCAGCGCAGCAATCTTACTCGTCTCCGCGTTTCCCGTTGCCTGGTTGCCCCCCAGCTTTGCATACAGCTTCCTCTCCAAGGCTTTCTGGTCGCGTTTCTTCGTCTTCAGCTGCACCAGCAGTTGACGCACTTTACCATTCCTTGGTTCCATCTCCACTGCCTTGCGCAAGAACGTATTGGCTTCCTCAAACTCGTTCTGGTCCAGCGCGATTTGGCCAATGCGGTACATGGCCTTTACATTCTTTCCATCGAGCTGCAGCACCTCCAAGCTCGACTGCCGCGCCTCCTTATACTGCTTCAGCTTGTGCTGCACGTTGCCCACATTGTTTCCCAACGCCACTAGCAACTCTTTGCACTGCACTGCATCTTCCTCCGAGTGTTCCCACGACTCGAGCAACTTCAGCGCTCGCTTGTACATCTTAGCTGCCTGCTCATAGTTCTTCTCCTTATAGTAACGATTACCACTCTCTTTCTTCTGCGTCGCTTCAACAATGAGCTCCTGAGAACTCATCTCGGCCGTGATCTTTTTACCCACGCGGCAGAGCTCCACTACAAACTTCATCTCTGCTCCAGGAACCACGTGCGGTTCCAGCCCCGTGTCCCCATAGGCAAACCGGGCATCGCAACGTACCTCACACACTTCTCCGACGTGCATCATCTTGGCCACCAGCTCAAGTGCTGTCTCAAAAACATCGTACAGCCGAATTGGTAAACATGAGGTGCACAACCCAGGGATACCCTTTCGGGCATAAATGACGTACCTGGCACCACTTCGCCATCTCCGATCCGAAATTTTCGAACCTCATTGGTTGCGACTTTCTGGTTCGATTTGAGTACCCACGTCGAATATTTGATACCCACTTCTTCGCCAAACTCTAATCGATACAAACGACAACTAGTGAGAAAAACATGCCCCATGTGGCAAATATTCTCCTGAAGAGGTACAATAGAAACAGATGATGACATTCCGTCCGAAACACAGCGACTTGCTACCTGCTTGAATGCCGTCGGTGTTCACGGTGAGCACCTTGCGAAAGATGCCGCCACTACCCAAGACATCGTCGAATCCTTCGCGCTCGGACCCGCTAACGGTCACCATGCTCGAAGGCTGTTGTCGCACGATAGAAATGTCTCAATTCACGATTCCAGTCCTCTTTCGAGGCATGAGCGAAAGGACTTTGTGCATGAGTCAAGTCCTATTTGCATGCATAAAGGGACTATTTGCTTGGATAAAGTACGATTCGTAGCTCTTCTATCACGATGTGTCGTGTTCGGTCATTCATCGCGACGGGCTATTTGGGTACCGGCTTAGAAAAGTGTCTGCATTTCTTTCGAATCGCGTCAAGTCGTCGCAGCGTCGTCAAGTCTCGATTGCCTGTACTGCATCACAGCTTTAATTCGATACGTCGTGACAGACGTGGCAGAGAAGGTCGGTAAATACTGGTTAAGCTCAACAGTGAGCAGTCCGAGCCCGCTTAGTAGTCAGTACTCAGGTTACGAGCGCAAGGAATAGGACGGAAGCAACGGAGATAAACACAGCGCCATGTGCGCGATATGTAGTGCTGTCACTGTGGTATCGTGTTCAACATCAACGCATCATGCGAACCACATGCAACAACGACGCAAACGAGAATAGCAAATGAAATCCGGTTACAAAGCTCCGCTGCATGAGCGAGTGCGTCATCACTCGATGGACGGGTGCAATGCACTGTGCTTGATGTTGCTCGAAACGGGGTCCGCCAAAGTTGGCATTAGCAGGACGCTGCAATGACTTTGGCGCTGCTTCCCCATCTTCCAATAACTAGCCATTGGACGACCTGTACATGTCGACAATGGACGTCTGAAACAGTACCAGCAAGACACGGTCCTGCTGGACAACCACTGAGCTTTAAAGCAGTAGCGCGTTTCTAAGTACCAAAGCACTGATGCGCCAGGCAGACGCATCGCCGAATGTACCTACCACCAGACGCAATCGACCTGCTCATTCACACCCGTACTTATCATGGAACAATCAGTCGTCACGGGGCTACACCAACTGGGAACTGTCATGAGCACCACTGGAAGTCCAGCATTTGTCATCCACAAAAGTGACAGGCAGCACGTGTAGCGCACTCAATCCGTCGGCAATGGAGGCAATAGCTTGATCATCCTCGACCATCTACATCATTTGTGCGCGATCAAGCGATGGGCGGTATCCACGAGTTTGTAGCTTGCTAGTCGTGGAGCTGTTGGCTGCCGAAACACCCGCTGGCTGCGATCGTCACTCTGCATAAAGGGGTCAGGAACTCCTCACCGTCTCGTCACTCTGCATAAAGGGGTCAGGAACTCCTCACCGTCTCGTCAGTGACCGTCGAAAGGCGGCAATGCCATCTTGGAGCTCTTCATCCTCTTCCTCCTCGTCGTCGTCGCCGTCTTCATCGCCGGACGAGAAAGCCGGAAAACTGGTCGAAGGAGAGGAAGGCACACATTCGACAATGCCACCACGAGCGTCCGGTTGCAGACGATGAAGACGGAAGGCGAGAGAGCTGTTGACCTTCTTGACTGCATCGACTTGGTCTCTGGCTTCACTCAGAGATTCGTTCAGCTGCTGCACAGTGCGCAGCAGCTCGTTGTTCCGAGCTACAAGACGCTTGCTACCCTTGACCTTGTCACCACCACCGTCGAAGAGGCGTTTGAGCTCTGCCAATTCGTGAGCTGTTTTTGTCGCATCAGCTTTAACTGAGACAAGCTCCACCTGCAGGCGTCTTCGCTCCGTGAGTTGTGCTGCAAGATCATCCAGTGGCTGGTTGTCGTTGGCCACCACAAGTCTGCGAAGCTCCCTCGACAGCTCTGTTGATTTAGTGCGAAGCATGTTGCGTTCGGCCACCAAAGTCACGTGTTTGTCCTCCAGCTGAGCAATCTGCACCTGCTGGTCTTCTACTTGTTGTTGTAGGTCGGTGGTGCTTACCGTTGCGACAGTCCCAAACCAAGCATCACGTTTCCAGTTTTGTGCTGCGAGCACAGCGGTATCTGTCCGCTTTTCTCCATTGAAAAACTGGGCCTCAGTTTGCGTGTCTTGGTCCAGCATCGTTACTGTTCGCTTTGCTGCAACTCCAGCCAGCTGCTCTAGTTCTTGTCGACAAGATGCCAGCTGCCTCTCTACCTTCTCTAGTTTTGACTGCAATATCTGCGTTTCGCGTGCTTGTGTATCATGTTGCCTCGCAAGCTTCTCAAGTTGCCGGATCTTCGTTTGATGCAACTCGATGCGACTGTTCTTTAGCTCGATGGATGCAGCAATCTGCTTGTTCTCCTGCATTGCTACTTTTTGGAGAACCGACGCCGATACAAGCTTCTCTCGAAGCATGTTTATTTCCTTGTCTTGTGCAGCAAGACGACCTTCCAAAAACGAATTGTCGGCACCAACATCTGTGCCGCTCACTCCACAACCGCTTTTGCTTGCCATCACGGATGCACGAGGTGGTCTTGGTGTAGGTAAAGTGAAGTCCGATGTTTGCTCTTTCATCAGCTGACCAGAATTTCCGCGGTTCAAACCAACTAGATCACTCAGCCGCGCACTAGACACGGAGCTTAGCGACCCCTCGCTTTGTAGTTGTACCGAAAGAAGCTTCCTAGCAATAGGCGAAGAAGTAGCTCCTGATACCGGAGTTGTTGCCGACGGCGGCGACCCTGCACTACCTGCAGAATCTCTCGTCGCAGTAGAGCCACTAGCGGGGGACATTCCGCCCAAGTGTGGCCCCACGCTTTGAGTTGCAATCAGTGGTGCTGGTGGTAGCGGGGATGCTGCAGCGACGTCAAACGCCGGGTCCATGTACAAATTTCTCTCATCGGCTCGAGCTATTTCTTCTTGCTCGGGTGAAATCAAACGAGCTCGGAACGTACGAATGAGCAGCGTCAAAATGTCGCGATTTTGCCTGTTCTGAGCCACCAAAAAGAAGCAAGACAGAGTTCCGAGCTGCTCTCGCCGATTTTGCAAATCGCACATATCTCCTTCACGGGCACCCAAGAAACCACCAAGCTCTCGCACCTTTATGGTGAAGCGGAGCTGGTTGCTAGGGTCCAGAAGTACCTGAAGATATGGACCGTAGGCAGCGTCCACGACGACACCTCCATCGTCTTCTGATCTTTTTACAAGAGCCACCGATGTTGCCGAAATCTTGATTTGAAAGCTTTCGTGCTCATTGCTTGCCAAAGTAGCGGAAAACGAACCCGCGCCAGCTTCTACAAATACGTCCACCGTCTTTCTCACGTCTGCATCCAGTACTAACGGTCGAGGCATCTCTACTACACGCTGTAGATGTGCAAAGCGGAGTGACTCGCAACGCAATGACAGAATCGCGCCCACATCATCCACCGAAGGAAAATACGGACACCGTTTGACGCCCTTTATCTGTCTGATCTCCGCCTCGGGTGGCGTCTTGCGAAACCACGTGAGCGTAAATTCGTTCAGATCGTCATCCAGTACACCAACAAATCGGCCTCCAGTTGTCACGGCTACAATAGGCGTCGAGTGCGGCACATCTACATTTGTATTTGCAGGTGTTTTGCGATGGCGGCCTCCTGCCGAGCTGTTGTGCGGTTTCAGCGCGAGGTTGTCCATCCAAGCTTTCACCACATTCTTGTCCTCCTCTGGCCTAGATGGCTTGTTGCCAATCATGCGCAACAAGCTCTTTTTCATACCGTCAGTTCCTGCTTTTCCACGCGAAACCCCGTACTTTCCTCCGTTCGATTCTGAATTCGCTGAGGACGCCAACGGTGACCGTGGATTGGCACTATTCAGATCTGTTCCGCTGGTCTTCTGCTCAAATGATCCTGACCTTGTCATCTGGCTCAGTCTGGCACCCCACCCTGGACTACTCGAGGGTGACGTCGGTGGCATTGTAGTCTGCTTCTTTTCCAGCTCCTCTTTCTTCGTTCGATGGCAATGGAATGTCAATTTCAACGGAAACGTGGCCTCCTGCACAGCCGTAATGATCTCGTTGAACACCATGCTGGTCACGTTCACGTCATTAATCGCCACCATTTCGTCACCCGGAGACACACGACCCGAAGCTTCAGCAACTGCCATGGTCCCATCCGCTTTCCTCCGGAACGCCTTCACAAGAGCTCCCGTCCCGTCGTCTCGCGAGAGCAAATCCACAAACAGCGGACCAGCTGTGCGGTAGACCACAACGACGTCACGCGTGCCCTTGTCTCGAGGCGACTTGATGCCTGCGAAGTCGGCCATGCCAGCGAGAATGCCTTCCCCCATTGCGATCAGTCCAAGAGGTTTCAACGTACCAGACGCTCTCACTGAAATGGGCGGCGGCAGCGCCTCCACTGTTTTCTCCTCGTGAATATTTAGCGACGACTCGGAGTACGTCGGTCTGGCTAAAAACGTCGGCAACGCGTCAGCAGACGAGTCCACTGAGAGAGAGGGTGTGGACGACAGCGTGTGATCTCGTAAGGTTCCATCCGATTGGCTGCGTCTCTGTGCGTTCCAGGGCCCCCGCGGGACCGCATTCGATGCGTCTGTGTCTTGGCTATCGACCAGCAATAAGGATGGAGCTGCTGCAGCTGATACCGCTTTCGGACGGCCACTTGCAGCGAACGAACGTGGCGCGAAAGGCGACGGGGTCGGTGAAGACAGCGACAACTCGACTTGGAGAGGGAGGTGCGCCTCGAGGGGCCTCTCCGAATCTCCCTCATTGTCCCTCGCTGTAGCACACGCAGCTTCGGCGGTAGACGGGCCATCGTGTGCCATGGCGGACGAGGAAGAAGAGACCGATGCGCGGGCCGTTGACACTCGCGGCCTCGGGATGAAATGGTCCGACGCAATGATTGATCTCGTCGCTGTCCCTGGATACGTGATATATCGGGTTTCGGAGGGCGGCTCGTGCATCGGCAAAGTGCGATGTCGAGGGCTCGAAAAAGAGCTCAGTGTGTGTGTGTGTGAGTTTCCCGTACTTTTTGCGTGAGAAGAAAAGCACTGTAAAAGGCGTTTTCGCGACGTTTGATTGATACAGCTCTCTCGCTTGCTCTCGCTCTCCTCGCATCACATTTGAGTCCATCATTGAAAAAGCTGTTGCACTAGCTGCACTGAAACAGCTAATGTGAAGGAAACCAGAGCGTGCTGCTGTCAAGCGCGGGCCGTACTTTGTACTTACTTGTATAGACACATCCACTGAAAGCACTCACTTGCTTTTGAGCGACTGCTGACAATCTTTCTCGTTTGCTGCTGATGTATACGAGCAACTAAAGCTATGGTTAAACAGCCCGTGACGATGCATGGGACCACTACTTCCGTTGTCTGATGAGTACATTCACACAGGCAAGAGTCGCACTATAATTTGCAACCAATAGAAAGCCCATTTTGACCAAGAGCAGAGCATGCGTCTTACACGACGTGCAAGCGGTTGTTGATAAAACGCACAGCGTAGTCTAGATGTCGTCAATTGCTGAGTCGACGGTGCGTCCGGCCTTCGTCGATAGCAATTGAAGCGGCAGGGGAACCACGCTGACTTGCGGTGTGAAAAGTACATGTCAATCAGTGCTGTCAACGAGTAGACGCACTCGAGCGACTGATTCCAATACACACGCGTCAGTGCCGCGTACGCTCTCGCATTGATTAAACTTCGTCTCTCCTTTGCTCAAAGGAGTTGCACGAAAGATTTTCATAGCTCTTCGCAACTGTACCAGGCGATCACGTGGCAGACACACCGATAACACAGTCGGACTCCTCGCTTCGCTACCTATGTGAATTACAGTCATTGCTCGGATAACCCATATCCTCATAACTCATAATTCATACATCCCACACAAATTGAGTTCCACCATCCTCGTTCTATGGTCGCTAACTCATAACTCGTAACTCATAACCATAGGGCTTTGATGAGTTTTCCGGGGGACGAAAAATCATGCAAGAATACTCTTTAGCAAGGAAAATCATATTCCTGTATGAATTATACACATTTGAAGAAGACGAAGTGGCTGAGTGAACTCATCTGGTGAAGCCAAGAATCAAGGGTGCTCTGAGTGGTGGCATCCATACGGATAGACATCTAAACCTCATGAATATGCCTATGAAAAACCCTATCAGCGGGTATCGAAATCAAGGATCTGGATACTTGATCTTTATTCCTTGCTGGTCTTCACCAATTCCACTTGCTCTTCCTCCTGCTCCCCCCTCTTCAGTTTCCTGTATCATCTGGATAATCTCACTATCATTCAACTCCACGTGTGCTGCTTCATCCTCCTCCACTGAATTCATAAGATTGGAAACGGCCATGGGATTCCTGAGAGGAAGCATATTGATGGCATCCTGCAACTCGCGCTCAACCATATGCTCCTTCTGATCAGCCGCAAAAGGCAAAGGAAGGATACAAATAGTCCAGTGTGGCTAAAACAATTTGCCACAGTTGCAGCTGAAATCTTCTCCCACAGTGCCACACTCCATTTCAGGGCGGTCAACTGGTCGACCCTGTAGATGTTAACATCGCCGCGTTCGTCGCAGTCCACATCATTCTGAAGATGTAGGCACCTGGAGTGGCACTTAAAAGCAGCGATAATTTCGGCATCCATGAGCTAAATTTTTGCGGTACAGTTGGGAGGCAGGAACTGCACGTGAACATTCTCCAGCTCCAGATCATTGGAAGTATGAGATGATGCATTACACATCTAGCGGAAGCGAGATATTTTTCTTGCGGACCTGGGAATGATACTGCTATGTTAAAAGCGTATTCAAGTGGCCTGATAAATTTTAATGGAATCAAAAAATATAGTTTACTTACCTTCATGTCGGTGTCGAATTTCTTCAACCACTCCCGAAACAGAGCACCAGTCATCCAGGACTTTTTGTTGTTCCAGTAGTCGAATCCGAGCTGCTCTCCGGACTTGCGCTTAAAACAGCGAGGTTTTTTTGCTTTCCCAATAAAAAGGCTTGAGTTTATCAGTACCATCCACATTGGCCGTGAAGGCAATAGAGATCCGTGCCTGAATAAAAAGAAAACTGTTATTGAACTGAAAATTCTAATCTTTTGAGTTCTTTTCAGGAATCGAATCAAGGCCGACATTGTCTTTCTCGAAACCCTCAATTTCTTGCTGCGCAACCGTCTTCTCCGGAATCATGTTGTAGAATTATCCTAAATTAACAACATGAATTTTCAACACTAGACTAAAATTAGGATTTCTCAAATCTAGACATACTAGTTTCGTCCATGTTGAAAACATCTTGGGGCTCGTAGCGAGCAATTACAGCTTGAAGTCCAGGCAACGCTGCATCCATGGCTTCCTCATTTTCTGAACCCACTCTTTCCGTAGATCCGGATGCTGCGGAGCTTGTTTCGCTTCCGGAAGCGTTGCAACCATCGACTGAAAAACTTGATGGCTCCCTCAGGTAAACCAAGTCGTTCAGATAACACCTTGGCCTTGACCTCGATGACTTCTCCAGTTAGGGCAACATTCCTTGTCTGGCACTGACCGACCCATGTTGACAATGCTTCCTCTAGCTTCGGATTCGGAGCGACGCGAGGGTGTTTGGCGGAAACTTTGGTATCTGTCATAGATTCCAGATCTGTGCATTTCTTTAGTATAAGAGAAATGGCAGACTGGGTGAGGTGAGCACCGAACTTGCTGAAAGCCCAATTTGCCAGAACACTCTGGCTCACATTCGGATTCTTGGCCTTGTGCTGGCATATCTCGAGCCTTTGTGCATTGGTGAGGCCTGCTTGGGACATATTTGAATGTGATTCAAAAGGGGGAAACCGCTAATGTAATATTTTTATTAAACAAAGTCATCAGAAATTTACGTTACTCAATCTCGGCTATCTCACAGAAGTTGTCGCCACGAAGCCTTATAGTTATCCGAGGAATGACTGTATCATCTGTCGCGTTTGATACGCGACAGGTCGGCACCGATCGCAAGCAAACGAATCAAGAAGAGATAGTCGATGTTATTACCATCCTTATGATCCCAACACACTAGTAAGGACCTTCCCTTGGTTGAATGTCATGATGTTTTAGAGCCTTTTGAAACAGCGGTTTCTCTCCATTCATCCACGCAATGGCCTCGTTCATCTCTTTCAGGTTCTCGGACTTCACCTCTTCGGCGAGGCGTTTTTGTTCAAGTAGGGCATCATGTTTTTTAGCCAGGTCTCTGATGAAAGGTGTTATCGAGTACTTACGAGCCCTGGGTGGAGAAGTCAGATCCAGAACACTGCGTGGGGAGGGGCCTTCTTCGCCGCTGGCTCGAGCTGTCCGTTTCTGGTCACTTGAAGGGGACGCCAGTTGCAGGCCGTTTGATGGGGCTGCCGCCGCTTTCCGGTTGTTCGAAGGGGGCGTCCGGGTCCAGGGATGCTTTTTCATCAATTTCGAAAATTGTTCGGCCGCTATAACGTTCTGCTCTGCGCGGTAGACGGCGTACGCTGCGGCGATAATGTCCACATGCAAAGGAGACAAAGAATGACGGGTCCTCGCCACCTCTTCCAGGGCTGCCCGGACCGTTTTTTCGTTGTATCCGAGTGAGTACAGAAGAGCAAATCGAGCTTTCCAAACCAAGGCCTCTTCTAAAACTCTAGCAGCTCCGACTAGATCCTCCACCTTCAAGTCCGACACGGGTACGCTTTCCTTGTGCCTGGTGCGAAGAAACGGGTTCGCGCGGGCAGAAAGTCTCCCCATGATTCCTGCAACACCATCGATGCCCCGTTCTTCAAGAGGGTCTTCGTCGGGGACGGTGGCGGCACGAAGCGCATTCCCATCGCCAGTCACGTCTGGCGGCGTAGCTTGATCTTCGTCAGGCGATCTCAACTCGGACAGCTTTTCGAATGCTGGAGACGTAGCACCACCACTGCAAGACGACAGGACGAGCGCGAGGTGGAGGAGAAGGAGCCACTTCGTCATTGCGGCAGATGAGCGCTGGAGTCGGTGGGTGGCGAGGGAGAGACTGCGGCAAGTTGCTGGTGTGCTCGGGTCACGGTAAAATGGGAAATGAGGAGTAGTGGGGCGGGTCTCAACTCGAAACATTGGAGACGGCTCGTCGTGAGACGGTGTCATCTGGAAAGAGAGCTCTTGCAGACGGAGTTGCTGTCGACAACGTCTGACTGCTTCCAGCCGACTCTTTCTCGCACGTTCTGTGTACGCGATGTAGGATTCATGGTGTAGAGAGCTGGATGTGGATGGACCAGACGACACACCTCACTCGTCCGTACGTCTGTACCCCCTGTGTGCTGGACTGTCAGTTGTCTAAGGAGGGTGGTAGAGACCTATTTGACAGTCGAGCTCGAAAGCCGATCGAATGTGTTTGACGGGTTATTGATTTTTGGAAAGAGAAAAATCTTTCTAGCGCTTCTTCGATTGTTCTCGAGCGGAGCAGTCACGTGATGACAGGCAAAAAAAAGAGCAGGAGCCAACATCAAGCTCAATCCCGGCTGCTCGATGCCAGAGGGTATTGCTGATTTCTCAGAACCCGATTTTTCTGTGGAAGGGCAAAATATACGTCTACGGGTCACGAATGCTCAAGACATGCGTGTGCATGTAGGCTCATGTGAGAACGACACAAGTGCTGTCATTAGAATAGAGTAGACCGATAACAATCAAGCTTATGCGAGAGCGTCTACGTTAGTCGAGCTCTGTGAAAGGCAAGAACCGGAAGACAAAGATAAGTGCGATGTAAATAGGCACACGCAATCGTGGCTTTCTGTGCAATTGCTTTCACAATTGCCGAACATGCAGACCGCATTTGCCAGCTACCCAAACAGTCATTTTCTCACTAGCGTAACTTTTGCGTATCGAGTCCTAGGGACAAGCCTGCGTAGCTTCAAAAATGACGGAGGATTCGCACATCGTGTCTTCTTGAAGGCGTTGTGTTGTCGCTCTGGTGGGACATTCATTCGTGCTGCTTCCGTTTCGTGAGTGCACCATTTCGCCGGTAAAGGATAATTAGAAAAACCACAAGCCCTAATTGATCAGGATCAATTAGGGCAGTTCCGAGGACGACGAAAGATTTGTCTATAGCGTCTGCTTGCACACGTTGTGTTGTCGCTTCGATGGGACGGTTATAAAAAACCGTTTTCACGTCATAAGTGCACCATTTCGATCTGTATCCTGAGGTGCGACGCTGAACGATTCGGCGCGCTCAATCGTTTTTGCTTTAGCAACGGGCACTGATGCTGCTATAAGCTTTCCAAAGCCCTCAAGAGACTGGCTTAATTCGATGAACGCATATGCGGAATCCAGCTGTTTGAAAATGAGTTACAATATATGGATTTCATAGCCGGCAACTACGAAAATCTCCTACTTCTGGGATCCCCGGTATGTTGTGTCTTAACGCGACGTAGATGATTGGACACCACTATTGTCACTTGATCCGGAACGAGGACATTGTGCGCTGCGGATCGCTTTCGTCGTCACAACGAATGGCGTGTTCGCACACACGCACGCACGCTCCTACTTCTTCGTTTTGAACAGAGCATATCCGCCATATCAGATACCGCAATTGGGCAAACCAGCGGCTACATGCGATGAGAAGAGGGCCATGCATTGTCCCTGCTCAGGCGAAACTGTTGAGACATAACCAAGCGGGTTCTTTGTGCTTGGCACATTGTCAAAGGAAGGGCACGTCAAAGACAGGTCCTCAGATGACAGCGCGTATATACATATGTGCAAGAAGGCAAAGACAATAAGCCTCAGTGGTTCCGAACAGTGCCACCATTGCTCATACATATAACTGACCTCTGCCCATGGATCGAGCTTTAGCCCTGTATGCTCGGCACGCATGCTCACGAGTCCATGAAAGGCTTCGTAAACGCGTGCCGTCGTCCGAAAGAAGTGACGCTCAGTTCGGGCACGTCTTTCTGACGTCAAGACGCAATCGTCTGCATTTCGACCCGACTTTGCGACGTGTGAGAAAGGGTTCATGTCGGTGGCGTAACCTGTGCACATATATGCACAAGATGTCTGAAAACGTCTGAGCCAGGAATACGCGCCGAGTTCGGTCGACAGACATCGGTAGGACTGGATTTTCAGGTAAACAGGTCTATTGAGACCTGCAATTGAGGGTAAACAGGTCTATAGAGACCTGCAATCGAGGGTAAACAGGTCAGTTGAGACGTGCAATAGAGCCCGTTCGACGACCGAGTCGGGACCTCAACGCTCGCGCTTTGTAACGCTGCGGAATGAACACTGCTGGCTTCCGAGCAGGTAGGACACTATATGCGGCGCGGGGTCTGCATTCGTCTCAGCGTCGCGTTGCGTCGCGTCGCTCCACTCATCCCGTGATCTCCGGCAGAAACTGTCGTGAGTAGTAATCATGCAGCGACATGAAAAAAGGCAAGTACATGGTCTGCAATCACCTGATGACAGTCGAAGAGCGCGACATCACCTGAAACGCGTACGAGGGACATCGAAGTCGGCAGTTGCTGGTTGGACAAGAAGACTCAACAGCTGGCAGTATTCTCCTCAGTAATGGGGCTGTTGCGAGGCCGAAGGAAATGACTCGGAATGGTAGTGTGTGCAATTAAAATACATGTCAGCAATGCAATCGATAAATAGCAATAGCGTAATGCAAGCTATTCTATAATCGATATACGTCGACCGTAATTGCCGGCCGTAATCTATAAATGTCGACAGTATTTGCGGCCGTCAGCGTGAAGCGGTCAGTGAGAATGCGCAAGGAATAGACGAACTTCCCGGTAGCTACTATTTATGTGTCATTTTTGTGCCTGAAGTCACGCTGAAACGCATCATGAACGACACGGAAGTGGTGCGGTCTTCGCCTTCAAAATTCCGTTCAAGTGCGGTGCTACGACGAGGGCCTGCCAGCCTACTAGGCCAGGCTATGCATGATCGTGCCCAATGCGTATATGTCACCAATTACGAGACTGCAGGCAGTGCCGCTTGGTAATCGTGCTTAGGTGAAGCGGTCGATCTCGATTGCCGAGTGGATTGCCGCGTGGGATAGCACTGGAAGTGGAACCGGACGTACTGAGTCATATACCCATGGTGGTCGGTACGAGCACAGATCGGCAAAGTGGACTTTGGCAGGAAGCGATCAACCAAGCAAGTATTGGCAGTATACCGTCTCGCAGACGAAGTTGTGTGGTAGTTGGGTGGCTGAGGGTTTACAAGCCGAGCACAATATTGTACTGGGAGTGCGGACCGTCGAGAAGCTCAAACGTTGCCGCTGTCTTGCAGTCAAATCCAGCTATACTGAGTGATTTTGTGGCTTCGACCGTAGCGTAAAAGCCGAACTCCACGGTACCTCGTGTGTTTGTGCATGTGCATGTGCGTAAGTTGTAACGGAGCAGCCCGTTACATGAAATTGTCACTTTAAAGAAACAATGACAGTAAAGAATATTAAGTTGAATATTCTTTGAACAATATCACCAAAGTGGTGATATTGAAGGGTCGACCAAAGAGTCTGTTCGTTGGTTGATATCTTGATGATATCAACCCACCAATCGCCGCAAGACGCGCGCAATGAGTGGTGACGAGACGTCACCATACACTCAGTTAGATTAGCATAATTAAGTTAAGTCAAACAGAGAGACAGTAGCAAAAAGACTTAATTATATTAATATAAGAGTTCTGCTTTTACCTTACTTACGCTTCCTTGCTTGCCTTGTGTACGTCTGTCGGGGCACCGATACCCTTGCGTTAAGTTCACGCAAGGGTGTGCCCCGTCACACCTGGTAGCACTTTGTAGTCCTTCCAAGGACCACAACATCCAACATGAAAATGTTGGATGACGAAGAGACCTTTCACGTCACGCGTGAAGGGCTTACCCATTTGAGTGACATCGAATGGGTGCGGTAGAACGAATGAGTTCTACCGTAGGCGAGTTCGCCATTAGCGCCATCTTGGAGTCTCTAGACAGAGACCAACAACATGCCGCTATAGCCAAGTTCGTTCAACATGAACTTGTCGCCGAAGGGGGGAAAGTAGCCTTGCTTCACCAGCAAGGCTCTCAACAGGCCGAGCAGTTGAGAGAACTCGGTGCTCAACAGACAGAGCTATTGAGATAGCAGCAATTCCATGCTGCTGTGGGCGGGACGGCACATGCGCGTCGTCCCGAGGTCATGAAGGTTGACATCTCCAAGTACAGTGGAGTCCCGGAGGACTCCCTGTTACTATGGTTTGTCGAACTCGACAGAGCCTTAAGGGCTCGTCGCGTCGAAGATGAGCAAATGAAACTGATATTTGCTCAGACCCACTTGGCAGGGCGTGCCAAAACTTGGTCCCTGGGGCTCGAGAGTAGCGACCCACATGTGTTTAGGTCGCTAGATGACTTCAAGTCCCGGCTCAGACAAACGTTTGAGCCGCCACGAGCTGAGTTCAGGGCTCGTCCAGAGCTCCTGAAACTCAAGCAGGGTAAGCGTGATGTTCACGCTTACGCACAACATATACGACTCCTCGCGAGTAACATAACTGCTAACCCAGTCCATGAACACACGTTGATTAAGGTGTTCATTCAAGGGCTCGCAGAAGGGCCCGCCAGGAGCCACCTGTTCCGCCTTGAGCTGAATACGCTTGAAGAAGCGATATCAGCCGCGGAACAGGAAGACTTTAGCATGAGACAGGCTCATGCTAGCTCAAACTCTTATCGTCCACCGAGACGACAACAGATTGGAGGTCCGGAACCAATGGAACTCTGCTATGTTGAGAGCGAGAGACCTTGCTCTACAAAAAACAAGCGATTGCAGAGGTGCAATTGCTGTCAGAAGTTAGGGCACTACGCATATGAGTGTAGTGCTCCACGTCCAGTACCAAACAGTACTGAGCGAAATGGACGACAATTTGCCATAAAGGGCAATAAGCGTGGGTCCAGCGCTGTTGCGAAACCACAACAGCGAGACGCACCATAAAAATGGTCGGGGTCAGTAGGGGCAGAGCGCCCTACTGAT